ATTTATTTCCGTCCGTGTGATCTGGCTTCTTTCTTAGGGGATTCTTGAAAGCAACAGGAAGAATTTTAACTACTTTTCACTTAAAAAAGAAAAGATTTATCACGTTTAATGTGAAAAACAAAAATGTCAGTTGAAGTACTAACTCTTCAAAGGTGAAATGAGGTCCTGGCTATGTTTTGGTAGACTCTTCTCTTCTGCTTTAGGACCTTATGGATCCAGATTCCAGGTTTTTATTTTAGGCATAGCCAAGGAATAGAAATCAGAGGCTGATGCCCTGCTGTTAGGATGATTTATGACTCTGCTATAAACACAACAACTACAGTTTCTTGGTTTGAGAAGGTTTCACAGTTTCTGCAGAAGAAGAAAGCAAACACAACAGCCCCTTTGAGAGGTCAAGAACTCAGTTGTGTACAGCAATGGCCAGCATTGTTATGCGGTTTTCTATTGTGAGCTTTCACTTTTTTCTGCCTCACTTCCCATTTTCCTTCCTCCTTATTGTTTGGCATTATACTCCCTAATAAAATAAAATAGTAGTCATATGCATTTGCTGTGAGGTCTAATTTCTGGGGGACACAATTGTCTAAGTTTGGGCTCCCCCAAAACAGTCTAATACGAAGACTTACGTGCAGTGGTTTATCTTAGAGATGATCATAGAAAGAACAAGTGAGGGAGTCGGGGAATGTGGGGTAGGGATGAGAGAAAATCTAACACAGGGCATGTAATGAATGAGATATTACTGTGGGAAATCAGGGCTTCATCTTGCCATGGAGTCTCAGAGAAACCTTGTAAAATGTTCCTCAGAATTGTCCCACTAAGACTTCAATTTCCAATCATGTTGAAGTAAAACATAAGTCATAACTTCCTGTTTTAAGCAATTAGAAAACTCAGCAACTGTTGAATCAGCTTTTACCAGACATTGGACAACAAGCAGAAAAAGACTAGAATTCCTCAGAAAAGGAACTAAACAGAGTGAGGTGTGTGATCATCCTGGTTTTTTTCTGGAGCAACTCTGGACCATTGTGCAGGGGGAGAGATCCAAAGTAGACCATGATAGTCCTACTGAGTTGAGGGTGCACAAATTTGAATTCAGGGGAATTACGGTGGCCAGAAGTTTAGGAAAAAGAGTTGCAGAAAGGAGAGATCTATGCAAGAAACCAGAACTCCATAAATCTGCATTGAGGTCCCACTAGGTCTCTTGGATCAATATTAAGTCACACGTGCAAGGGGTGAAACTCTGTAAGCCAAGCAAAGAGCAACTAGAGATTTGTAAGCTGAGAAAATCTCAGACCTGGCATGGAATGAGGGGATATTTGAAGTCTGCCCTGTGGTAGTAGAGAGAACGTGTGAGCACTCAGGGCATTCACTAATGGCACAAGAAGGACATGACTTAGAATACAGCTAAACAAATCCTAGCATGAAGAACGTGCCTAGACCACCCTAACAAAGCTCAAAAACAAGCCTCAAAGAGATCAAGCCGATGCCCTAGAATTTAACTGCTTGTCAGAACAGAGCCCAAGACTCTAAAGAAAGAAAGCAAATCTTGACACCGAGCAATACAAGATTCAAAATTTCCTGCAGTCAAATGAAAATGATTATGCATGCTAAGAAGTAGAACAGCATGAATTACAATAAGAGAAAAAAAATTAAGTAAATATGGATTCAGAAGTGACAGAATGATAGGCTTAGCATACCAACATTTTTAAATAACTGTTTTAAATATGCTCAGGTGTTTAAAGAGGGTGTAAACATAAAGAGAGAAATGGAACATTTCATATATTTATGTATTTGTCTTTTTAATATTTATTCATTTTATTTTAATACACACTATTTATAAAATTTAAACACACACATATATTGATAGAGAAACTTCTAGAATTGTCTAACAAGAGACTGGGAAATTGGAATATTCATCCATTAACTCTTATCTCTCCTCTCAGGGCATCAAATCACAGGCCATCCTGCTTTTGGGCTGAGAAATCTCTCTCTGCCAAGCCCCCTTTCCCACAGTTCAATGGAGAAAACCCCCATGAAGAGATGCAGAAGAACAGGTGCCTTAAGTTGGGAAGCTGTTGTCCATTGCAGCTGTTGAACTCATTGTGAGTGGAGTGGGACATCACTGTTGAAGACAGGGCAGGCCCTTTTTTAAATGATGTAATTGGGAGCTGGGCACAGTGGTTCACACCTGTTAATACCAGCATTTTGGGAGGCCGAGGAAGGTGGATCACAAGATTAGAAGTTTGAGACCAGCCTGGCCAACATGGTGAAACGCTGTCTCTACTAAAAATACAAAAATTAGCTGGGTGTGGTGGCGGGTACCTGTAATCCCAGCTGCTCAGGAGGCTGAGGCAGGAGAATTGTTTGAACTCAGGAGGCAGAGGTTGCAGTGAGCCAAGATCATGGCATTGCACTCCAGCCTGGGCAACACGGCGAGACTGTGTCTCAGAGGAAAAAAAAAGTTATGTGATTGGGTAGCCAAAAAATACAAACAGTGTGATCTGTTTTTCTGGATTTCCCCCCACAGTGCTATTATGGGTCTGCCACCTCCACCATACCTTAACGTCTCTCCAGTTACTTCTGGAAGTCCTGAGAGGGTGTCTCAGGAAGACTTATGATGACAGAATAGTGTTAGCCACCCCTCCTTCTTTCCTTCTCTAGCTCCCATGGTAATATTGCTCAGGATACCTCAGCCACTGTGATCAGTCACTGTGGTGCTGTTTCCTGCTGATGGCCTCTCAAAACTGTGATGTTTTATGTAATCTTTTCTCCCTACTTCCTTTACCCTGTGACTACCACCTCAAACAGGCTGTATCCTACCTGCTTCCTGCCATAACATTCCCAACAGGAAACTGCCTTGGGCTTGCAAATTTTCAGGGCAATTTGGTGTGAAAACAATGTACATATCTGCTTGATCTAAGACTGAGATTGAGACAATGTCCATGGAGTTGGCCTGATGACCAATGGCAAGAACCATGTTTCCAGAGCTTCCAATAACATTTAATCCCTGCAACACTTCAGAAGACTCATTCTGTTATTATCCTCATTCTACAGTGGGGAAATGAGGTTGAGTGAAGTAAAGAAACTTGCCTAAGATCACAGTGACAGAGCTGGAACTTACTCCAAAGTCAATCTGATTGTTTGAAATCGGTCTTTAACCACCATGTGAATAAAAGCATCTCTTCTGTCCTTTTTATGTTCCCTGTTCTATGTTAGCAAGAGCTAGGTAGCCAGTACAGCAAGCTCCAATGTTTGAGGGTAAGGACTTGTCTTAACTGTAGGGAGTGGTTTTATTTAGCCCTTGGGTGCTACTTGTAAACATTTTTCAGTGTTCTCTAAGTTGGGGTTAGGGAATGAATGCTACCATTTATGGAGCTTCTCAAATGGTTTGCATTTATTTACTCAAGTACATTTTACAAACATATCTTTCTCATCTCATTCATAATTAAATAATAACCTTGGAATTATGAAGAGATTATTATTTTTAACTTTTTTCATTGTTAGAAAACCTCAGAGTTTGTTTCTTGCTACTTAGGACCGTTATTTGCCCAGCTTCTTGGGACAATCCAGAACTTGATTTCAAGTATTTAGGCTGCCAGCCTCACCTTCTTGCCTTTATTAGGGGCAGTTACCCAGGGCATGGGATTTCCTGAAAGAGTCCTGAATCAGAAACAAGTACACACCTCACCAATGCATGGACATCCTTCCTTTTCAGGTTTGGAGCGTGGTTTCTTTTATGTTATGGGGTCTTTCTTTCTTTGACATGACGATTATGTTTCTGTCCTACAAACCTGTAGTGCTGCTGTCATCTTGGGGCAGCATTGAATATAGAGTTCCCCAGAGGGCAAACGCTCTATGAGATCCCATCAGAATTCTACTAGGAAGGATGAGAACTAATGCAGTCCAATCTTAAAATCATTATATTTTGTATATTGCTACAAAGAATTGAAGCAACATTAATCTTAGTGCTACCACTTATATTTTGTGAAGTTTAGAAAGTTGAGTCCAAATTTCAATAAAATCTTTTCACAGGTGAAGTATTTAGCCACTCACTTCTGCTTCTATTGGCTACTCAAATGATTTTTGAAAAATGAAATATTTTAGCCACCATGTCACTGCCAGCTTCATTATATTGTCAATAATTATAAGAAATATTATTTAACAAAAGCAATGAAATGAGAGCCCTTGTAAAGATAAAATAACATCAATATTTTAAGGAGGTAAATTTGAGTAGCAAGACAACAAAAAACTTCTTATGAAAAGGGCAATTTATATCAGTGACTCTCCCATCAGGGTACACATAGTTTGGTAAAGCACATTCTTCACTAGGTGAGAGCCAAGGGCATTGACAGCAATCATCACATGAATGAAGTATAAGTCATAGTTTGATTTATTTGTATAGCAGATTGAACACCCAGAAAAGAAAAAAAAATCAAAAACATTGAGAAATATTGATAGAAATCACTAGATTTTCCAGTGAAATTAGCCCTTGTTTCCCCCCAAAATTAAACGAATATTTTATATTTTAAAGTACTTTATTTTTATATTATTGATGTAAACATCAATATTTAAACCCCTTTGTTCTAAGACAGAAACACAGTAAAACTAACATTAAACAAGGCAGTATGCCTTACAAGAAAGACATAAAATGTCCAAGGGATATTTAGAACATTTTAGTTCTTAGTTTCAACAAGAGAAATGTTGACCACAGACTGTGAAATCATTTCAATAAATAACAACTGACATTTGTCTAAAGTTACAAAATAGATGTGCACATACATTCCCCTGCCCTTACAATAATCTCACTGGCCATTTGCTTGAATCCCCCAGCCTCTATCACAGTGGCTGTCATGTTGCAGACTCCTCAGAAATATTAACATGACTGGAGAACATTTTAAAACATTCATTAATTATTTCAAATTAAATACGAATCCAGATGGAACTAACTTGGGGTTGACATTTAAAAAAGAATGAATATTCTGGGACAATGTGCAAGTAGATTCAAAAGAATGAATATTCTGGAACAGTGTGCAAGTAGATTCAATCATACCCTTAATTATTTTATACCTAAAATATTAATATAGAATCTTCAAAAATTAACAAATAAATAAATAAATAGAAAACATCTCCTAAGCCATGGTCAAACACATCAGGTGCAGTCCAGGTGGCCTCTCTGCAGCTGTGTCTCTCTTTCCTCTCCTGTTCCTATAAGGGCAGGGCCTCCTTCAGGAACAGCCACCTGAAGCTTCCTCCTTCCTTCTGGTCAGTTGGATTTGTCACTGTGATGAGAAAATGGGTGCCCTGAGTAGGTGCTCAGGAAAGCAGACTGCACAACACTCTTCTCCTGTCCTGTTCCCCCAGGCTCTAGAGTTTTCTGAATGCACTTTCCCCAGCCTAGCACTCAAGTGGCTACCGTGGGTGACAGCTGTGCTGTGTGGCAGGGACCGCTAGGCTTGGGATGCTCTTTTAGGAATGGGGTGGGGCGGGGTTGGTGGTCTCCACTGTACAACAGCCAGAACCTGCTGCTCTTTGTCATACTGGGCCTCACTTAAGCCTCACAGCAACCTCATGATGTAGCTACTATTATTTTCCCTGTTAGTCTGAGACTCAGATAAACCAAATAATTGTCCTTGAGTGACATGGCTAATAGGTGGTGGTACCCAGATGTGTACCCAGTGCAATATCATTGTGAAATCTCTGCTCTTCACCCCTAAACTTTTAAGCAAGGGGTCTGCTTTTCAGGTCTGAAGACCAGTAGGAACTAGGGGAAATGAAGCTTGTGTTTTTAAACAGTCGGAAAACACTTCAGCAGAACTGGCAAGCCCCAGTGAGAAGTTAAATGAAGGCAGTTTTACGTATGTTCACTGAAACGAGGGAAGAACCTGGGTGGGGACCCCGGGCAGTGTGAATATCCTCTGGCACAAGAGCAGTAATTATAGTAAAGGAAACTTTAATTGTGAAAATAATCTTTTTTTTCAGTCCTTCAGCTAACCCTTGGGTTTTCCTGATTTACTATTCAGGGGCCAGATGCCAGTTTTTCTGACCAACGGCTCTAGTCGCCTGTGGCATGGAAACCATAACTCACCTGTTCAGCATCTTTTCGACGATTTTCTTAGCCATGGGGGATGCGGGGTTCAGACAAGCCTTCTGCCCATTCTTGAGTGTGGCTCTGCAGAGAGAAGGGAATCCGTGAGGCAGGAGGTCGGGCTGGGGACAGGGTTGGGGCAGCGAGAGGGTCTGGGACCGCGCGGTGGCAGCGGCAGCGCGGGGCGGGACTTACATGACTTCGGTTTGGTCGCAGTGGGGTCCCTGCCGCTTCACTTCCACACTTTGGATGTTCTTGAGGTGAATTCCCTGCAGGGTCTGCAGACACTGGCAGCGCAGTTCATTGACCAGGGGCGCTCCTAGGGAAGAGGAGACTCGCTGATTGAGCGGGGCCGTTGGCGGGGGGCGCCCACCCCAGCCGCGTCCCGCCCGGGGTCCCCAGGACGCCAGGACCCACCTGCCGCGCGCCGGCCGGCGGCCACCAGAAGCAGGAGCAGCAGCGCCGCCCGCAGGAGCCGGGGGTTGCTGGGGTTGGCGGAGAGCATGGCGCGGGCCATGGGGCTCAGCAGGCGGGTCCAGCGGCGGTGCGAGGAGCGGGAGAGCTGTCGGGGAGGTGCCTGCGGCCCGGGCTCTGTGGCTCCCCGAGGTCGGTGAATCCCTTTTATGCATGTTTGGGGCTGGAAATCCCGGAGCCCCCGGGCCAGGGAAATTCCCGGAGCTCCTGATCGATCGGGAGTCCGGAAGAAAGCACTGGCCCCGCCCCCGGGTGGAGCGCTTGCGGTGCGGGTGAGGTGGGGGGTACACTGGTGGTGCCCGCGCGTCGCCCTCCAGAGTAACTCCCGTGGGCTCTGAGATTCGGATATTCGCCTTGTGCCCCAAATCCCTGAAGGGGGACTGCGTAGCAGCCAGCGCTGAAGAGGTGGGATCTTGGGCGCGTGGTGATCCCAAAGTGTGGGACCGCGAGCCGGGGAAGAGCTGAGAACCACGACTAGGGAAGCGCGACCTCTTTGTGAGGAAAAGAGTTTTGTCTCGGGATTTGTGTCTGGAGTTTAGCCTATTTCATATGCATCTGACATCAATACTCTCTGTGAAACTGTAGTCACCATGTGAGATTCCAGAGAATGTTCTTGTTCCTTGTGTTGCATATTCTCTAATCACACTTAGAATATCTTGTTTATGTTTTCCATGTGTTGGCAACAGATTATCAGTGTCAAAAGTTGAATCCAGTGTTAATGTCAGTGGAAGCTGGGCCTGTATAGCATGACTTCTTCTTTAGTATTCTGCATAACTTCCTTCTTCCCTCTGAAATGTTGGAACTTTCAAAATCCCCTGGAAATATTTTCCCCGTAGGAGGGGCTCAGATTTGATCTAGAAATACGGCACTGGTTGCCACTCCGGAGCTGCGGAGGGGCTGGATCCAGCAGGCTCATGGGTTCATCCCTCCTGGTTTTGCCTTTAGAGGGCATATCCCAAGACAACAGGGAGCGGATACCTGGTGTGCAAGCACTCTTCCCACTGAAGGAGCAGGCATGCATTCGGATGAAATACGAACGCCAGATCCCACACAGAGTCACATTACATTTACTATAGGACTTCCTGGTATTCAGTGTTGGGCCTCCTTTCTAGAGAAACACACACATGTTGCTGTTTTCTCTCAGGAATTTCAGTCATTTAACCTGGTACCTTTATTATATTTTTCTCCAGAAATTTTAGAGAACTTATTTTTATTCATCATTAGGTTTTTAGAGGGTTTAATTGTGATTCTCCAAGTGGGATTCAGAGTTCTCTGAGACATGGGTAAGATGCGAGGCGGTGGAAAAAGCAGAGGCCACTGCCCCAGGGGCAAATGTCTCCAGAACAGGGTTCTACTCAGCCCAGCTCAAGAGATAAGACCTGTGTTCCTAGACAAGCAGAGAACACAGGCCAGGCTGCCACCCGCATTTAGTAGCGAAGCATCACCTGCAAGTTGTTTAGCCTCTGATTTCTACCCTAAGGCGGTTATGAGAAATGAGTCAACATTTGTAAGAGCCACCATGGATTTAAGTGCCTTATAAATGTTTGTTAAAGAAATAAAATGGCAATAGGTTTTCCAACATTGCCTAAACAGAAACTCGATCTGATGTGAATTCTTCTGTAAAGAAAAAAAACAACAAAAAAGAATCTAATGGAAAGGCTCACTCCCCAGTGTTTTTTACATTTAAAATTTTCTGTATCAGTTACTGCTACCCAACCATCCCCAAATGTATACAACACCATATACAGCAGTATGAGTCTTGAAGAAGTCAAGGTAAGTCCTGGAAGAAAGAATGTCCATATAAACATCAAAAGCTCAGTTTCTGAAATGCCCTTTTGGTTACTGGTGCTCAGGGATACCGGTACGCTCTTGTGTACTGGTGCTCTCATTACAGTAAACTTAATCAAGGGTAGAAAGGTGTGCTAGAGTGCTGTTTCTTTAAAACAGACACTGTAGATAGTATATGTACTCCAGTCTTTTTCAACGATTTCCCTTTTCACATTTTCCTGATTACTTATATTTCTTGACAGAAAGGATAAAAGAAAAGCACTGACCCAATGGAGACCAAAATACAGTGTCCCAAATATCTTCAGCAGTTCCAAGCTGTAATCAATGCTGCAAACTTCTAAATTAGAAAAAAAAAAAAAATAGAAACTCAACTGAGAGTTTGCAAAAATTAAGATAAAATGAAATTTTCTGTATTAGGCTTTCAAAAAGGAAGACAAATATGTACTCTACCAGGAGGTGCACTTAGATGAAATTTTACTTGTTAACATTCACATGGATCATTGGTTTATTTCAATCACTTCATGTATATAAAAATGGAGTTTGAATGTAATAGTTTCCATCTTATTTATTGAAAAGATGTACAAAAGGAATGACTACTTTTTAAAAATACTCTAGTATTCAGCAATATGATTCTAAGAGAAAAATCAGGACAATTAGAGGAAGATAAAATTAGTAGTAAGAAATAGGAAATGACATATAATCTGAAGTTTATTAAATGTGGGACTAGCTCATGAATAATTGAAAGTTTGTGTGATTACTCCAGTTATTATCACTCTTTTTCTGGGATTTGATGAGAAACTGAAATCTCCAGAAATATGGAAATGATTCTTTAAAACTTGAAAAATGTATTGGATTGTTTTCTATTTGTAGTTGTAATACATGTTCATTTTATAAAGTTCATAAAAGCCAAAAAGGCATGAAGAGATTTTTTTAATCTAATGTCTCTTCACTTTTGTCTATGAAGCAAACATTCACAGGTCACTAAAAATTTGCTTTTTTTTTCTTTAACAAAGGAGTTAAAAGAGCTTACAGGATTCCGGGTAAATATAAAATATGCTGCTTCCTTTATGATACTGCTGCATACCAAGGGCAAATTGCTAAACCTCTACACCAGAGACAAAGGGCAGAGCATTTATTTTGTGCTCTTTTAAGCAGTTTACAAATATTAACTCACTCAGTCTTCCAAACAAGCCTGTACTTATACTGATATCTACAATATCAGTAGGCATTGGTATGTCTATGGCCCTTTAAGTTATGAATAAAGAAACTGTGATGCCGAGAGCTGACGTCACTTGCCTAAGGTCATACATCCTTGAACTTGGAAATTCAATCCAGGGAAAATGGCTTGTAACTATTATACCATGATAAAAAACACTCTGTGATATATAATTAATACTTTGAAGAGTAGAATCATTCTAAAAATCTGTTATTGTCCTAGATGAATGGCTCAAATTTACATATTCTTAAATGAAAACACAGCAAAATAGTCATATCTCTCCATAGTTTTTTTCACTAACAGTATAACTCTCCTGTGGCATTGAAATAGCTTGTTATATTTTCCTGAAGTGCCCAATTCTCAAAAATAAAATAGTACCTTTACCATGAGGAAACCTGGCAAACTCACTCTTTACCAAATGAGGAAGGTGTACATCATCAGTGTGACGTCATGTGTATATCATGTACGCCTTTGATATGATGTCATAAGAACAGCAAATCTCTTTGCTGCTCTTTCCAAAAATTAATAGGCCAAGTCTAACAATGAGAAAGATGTGCTTGAACACTTCAAACCAAAACTGAAGAATCTTAAATAGCTAAGTAATACTCTTCAAAACTATCAAGGCCATAAAAAATAAGGACAACTGAAGAACCATCACAGTCCAGAGGAAATTATGGAGACATGACAATTCACCACAGTGTGGTACTTTGGTTTGCATTCTGAAACAGAAAGAGGACGTTCATGGAAAAACTGGCAAAATCCAAATAAAATCTGGAGTTCAGTTAAAAGCAATGTGCCAATGGTGGTTTCTCTGCTCTGACCAGTATGCCATGGTATTGTAAAATGCTCACTTTAAAGGAAACCGGATGAAAGGTACGCAGACACTGTATTAAATTTGCAACTTTCATAAACTTAAAATTATTCCAAAATAAAATGTTTATTTGTTAAAAATTTCTCTTTCTGAATCCATTTAGCCCACCAAAATTAAATCAGTGACCATGCATGTTTCATCTGCTAGCTTTTTAGAAAGGAAATTGAATTTTTGTTTAGTGCCTGTTTGCTCAAATATGAAAATCCAAAATATCTATTGCCGAGTTTGGACACTTCATCATGTTTCATAGGATTAAATAGCTTGCCTTCATCATTAATCATGCAGTCCAAATCTCTCATCTAGTTCTGGTAACTGAAGAAAAATACAAGTGTTTCTGTTGTAATCATCACCGGACCCAACCCAAAACTGACGCAAAGAGTGCACTCAGGAAAAGCAGAACTCCACAGGAGCTGCCAAGAGAATGAAGCGAATGAAGCATGTCAAGAAGCAGTGGGCATTTGCAGATTAGACAGAACTTGACTCAGGAAAGTTTTCATCAAAATCACTTGTTTTTGTTAATGAAGTAGAGAAAGGAAAGAATTTTTTTGTTGTTATTTCCTCCTTAATATGCCACTTGTATCAATGAAATCTGCGTAAACCAAAATTCAAAATTTATAAGCACAAGAACTCTATAGCCTGGAAAAGTAAACAAATTCATTGTCTTGTTGGAACAAGTGTTCCTCCAAGCCAATTTTTTTTTCAGAAGTTGAATACTAGATTTTACGCAGTCTTTAAACGTATGCAAGCAACAACTCTTAAAGAAACAGCAGATTCTATAAAAATAAAAGCTTTGGTGGCTAAATTCCGTTTTCCCTGTAATCACTATGGAAACTTTCATAATTAGCAAGCAGTCAAATTTGGGTGCTCATGTCTCCTAGACCCATTTATCAGCCATTGCTGTAGCACTTGGCTGCATCAGGTATTTTTCACTTGCTGACCTAATGTTTCTCTGTTGCTGCCATGGAACATCCCTTTCGCAGAAGGAACCAGAGCCAATAGGTAAATGTTTTCCCATTTTTCATGCTTTGGGAAGACATGCTACATGATTTCTCAGAGGATCCCCAGTAGTATTGAACCCCAGTTGCCCATGTCCTCTTTTCCAATTTTGCTCTTTCCAGTTCTTGAGTCCTCTGTGTTGGGAACATTTCCCCAAATAAATTACATGCATGGCAAGTCCATGACTCAAGCTCTGTATTTTAGGGGAGCCGAAATGGAGGCACTGCTCCATCCTGAGAAATGACCATGCTGAAGGCAAACAGGATTAGGCAGGGCATCTCTCCTCTGCCCCAACTTGGCTTGGGAATTGTCCTTCACACCTGCTGTCCCTATTTCTCTATACTCATCTCTTCCAATATAATGACTCTGGCTCTGAGAAGAGAAGAATAAAGATGTGTGAATGTGATGTTAGATTCCTGGAACAGTTCACCCCCAAAGTACAAGGGCATAGTGGATGCTAGAGTTAGTGTCAGCCTCTCTATTCAGTCTTCTAAATATTGCTTGTCTGGCACCCCCTTCTCTTTCTTCTGTTAACACACCTTCGATTACCTGCTCTTAGTCCATAGGTTTCAGGTAGGATAACGAATCCTTCAGTTCGGATAACGCATCCTACAGTTCCTTCCTGTATGCCACCCCCGGCTCTACTCCTGCAGATTTATTCGGATGTGGGCAAGTGACCAAAGCCTGGCCGTGTTAGCAATAGTCCCTAGAGTTTTTGCTGGAATGAATGAAAAAGAGTTTCTGAATTCTCATTGGGGTTGCAAAACTGGTAAAATAGGGCCTGGAATTTTGTAATGCTTGAGGACAACCTGCCTGAGAGTGAAT